GATCTGGCGGACGAGTTTCCCACGGCGGATGTTTTTGGCGTTGACTTATCCCCGATCCAGCCTGAGTGGGTTCCCACGAATTGCAAGTTTCATGTCGATGACTACGAGGACGACTGGACGTATCGTGAGGATGAAAAATTCGACTACATTCATGGCCGTGCGCTGAGTGGTACATCATCAAACTGGGCGAGATTCTATGACAGGGTCATGGGCGGGTTGAAACCAGGTGGTTGGGTGGAGATGCAAGAGTATGATGCTTGGATCTTTAGTGACGACGACAGCTTCGATCGGGCGATTTGGACGAAGGAGTGGGTCACGAAGCTCGACGACGCGAGCAAGACATACGGCAAACAGATCAACGTTGCGAGGTTTCACAAGCAGTGGATGATTGACGCCGGTTTTGAGGATGTTCAAGAATTGGTTTACAGGGTAAGTCAACCTACTCTTCTTATTCATTGGGATCCTATTAACTCCGTTGCAGATACCGATTGGCCCATGGGCAAAAGACCCTGCTTTGAAAGAGCTGGGTCGTTATGAGCTGGCGCACATGCAGATGTCAGTTGAATCACACACACCCGCCCTATTCACGCGGGTATTGGGATTCAGTGAGGATCAAGCACGAGTTCTCATGGAAGGCGTAAAGAGGGAGTTCAGGAGCAAAGACTACAGGCTCATCACAAGTTATCGCTTCATCACAGGAAGGAAGCCTCACGGGCCACCTTAAGACTAGTGAATTATAAGATCGTTCAACTTTGTCCACACTACGCTTAGACATGGCAGCCGTACGTCGGGCTGATTCGGGCGTGATGTCGCGCTTCTATTCATAACTTGAGGTAATGGAAGAGGACGAGAGAATGGGTTGGTTTCCATCGACCATACTACGTTGAAAGTCTTGCTGGTATGACCATCATGCATGGCTTGCCATATGAGCCCCGATAATATGGATGTCCAGTTGAAATTCTTTGTGGCGTTTGGTCAATGTAATTTCTTGAAACGGAGGTGGTTCTGCTTACCGCGGCGAAATCGACACATTTACAGGAGTCTCTCCCAAATCTCTGAAACCTGTTTTCTTCCCCATTCTTCACGCTCTTCCTCCGTCTTCATGATCCGAAACCCAAATTTAGCGTACAGCCGCCTCGCACTACTGAGTTCTTCGTACGTCTGGAGCCCAACGCGCTCGTACCCAACTTCTCTAGCAAAGGCAAGACACGTTTCGACCAACATTGTGCCGATCCCAAGACCTCGCGTGGTCTTTTCAACAAAGAAACACCTAACCCTCGCACGCCCTGGCACCTCTCGGTCCTTGGTAAGCATAATACAGCCCAGAAACTGCCCCTCTCTCTCAGCGATCCAGCAACGTTCTGACGATGGGTCAAAGTTGTCGAGAAAATGAGCCGTATATCTAGACATATGCGACTCGAATAAGTTTTCGAAACCGTAGTCCGCATAATACACCACTGCGTGACGGTGGGCGATGTAAGTCATGTCTCCTGGGCGGTGGTTTCGGAGTTTAATGGGTTCCGAGGGGCGTTCCATGTTCGGCGTGGTGTCGCTACGTTATGTTTGGCCAAGTAAGTTATCCAAGAGGGAGAACCATTGCGACGTTTGTATTCTGGGATACAAATGTGCCTGATTCGAGAGACTTTCCTAATTCCGCTCTTGTCAAGCTCAAGACAAAGTAATCATGTCGAAAGGCGCGCCCATGTGGGGTAATTCGTGCCAAAGGGCGTGTTCTCATGAGCATTGTGGGGCTTCGCTCGCCGGTCGCGTGGAAAGCTTCCTGGCATCCATCGATTTAGGAAATCATGATGGAAACGAAAAAGGTTTCCATAACATGGATCTGTTTAGTATCGAATTGAGATGGGTAAATAGACTTAAGAAAATCATTTGCTATATCGTTAGATTCAGGACCCAGGTCGATATACGGTTCAAGAGGATCTCTCGAGTCTTGAGGCCGGGCAAATGGGAATTTAGTTTATAGGAACTTGATTCTCCTTCGCTGCACAATTGATTTCCTGCGCGAATGTTCTTGAGTGGTATGTCTTTAAAAACCCAATAATTGTCAGTTTGCGTCTCAAGTACAGACTTCCTTCAACTTCAATAACCTGAGCTTTGTATTATTTGTACGTAGAGCTTGAAGAGGGAACCAGTCAGCATGTCACGTATCCAATGAAAGTCACGATTGTGGGTGTCGTGCATCTCTTGGCCTGCGGTACGGACCTCGGGCCGGCGGTTGTTGGAAAGGGGTCCGTAGGGGTAACTGTGCCATTCAAGGCCCCTGTTGGTTCGATCGGGAGCTGGATGAGCGGCAGATAAGCTGCACCTTTTACTGTACAATGGGCGGTACGATAGGAATTATCCGGCATGGGGAGCCTTCGCCGAGTTTGTCCAAAATGTCCCGTTATCAGCAGTAGATATCGGCAGTAGATATGTACTGCACGTGGAAGAAATGACCAATCGCCGATGTTTTCTGTCTCGTTGCAGCTTTCGGTATTGATAGCAGACGGTACGGAGCTTTGCAGATCAGAGGGAAGTTTGAGTAGCCCAGATTGATAAAGTTGTCGCAACAGCGGTCTTATTCTAACATATGTCCAAGTGTTTTTCTAGAGATTACCCGACTAAGACGCACTTACAAAAGTTTGTGCTCGCTCTTGCTATCAAATTGCATTCGTCCTAATACAAATAACGAAAGCTCTTGACCTCAGTCATGCCATCATATCCCACAAAGTCCTTGGCACCAGCCTCAACAGAGTCTTGCATTGCTTCTTCACGATCAAGCTTCTTGTTCTGCGCACGGAGGTAGAACCGTAGCCCAAGAGCAGCAATCGCAGCGAAGCCAAGCAATGCGATCTCTGCACCAAACGACTCAACGTAGTACGGACCGTACTTAGCCGGCCAGATATATGAACCAGGAATGCTTCCGATGTTGCCCATCGCGTTGACCATTGCGATCGCCGCGGCTTTCTTGGCTGCTGGGCGGGGTATTGTGTTGGATATCCACGCAAGAATGACGAATCCGGATGCAAATCCCACTGAGTAAGAGGTTTTGTTAGTCGCTCTACCTTCAGCATGGCATAAAGATCAAAAACCTACCGGTCATAAGAAACAAAGAGACATAGCGCGGGGCCGTGGTCGTCGTCGTGGCAGATATGATGTATCCGACCATACACGTCAAGAGCGGCACAAAGTAGTGAAAGAATCGTTCTCCCGTCTTATCAGCATGCCAGGCATTTGGCAGCGACACCAACACAGCGAAAATCCAAGGCGGCGCTGTCAGCAGCAGTGTCACTGTTTGGCCGTACCCAAGTCCTTCCGTGATGGTCGGAAAGAAGAAGACAAACTGCACAGGGACCACGATCAGCATTCTCTGAAGTCAAGAAAATATCCCATGGCTAAGAAAGCTGATCTTACGCTTAAACCCATGATTGTCGCATGGTATGCCAGCCCCAAAAGCCACACCTTGACATCCTTGCACGCCATGATTAGTCCTTGTATGGCTGTAACATCTTCATCTTCGGCAGATCCTCCAGCCAACCCCTCGTCAAGAGCCAGACGATCCTGCGCCACTCGCCTCTCTTCTTCCGTCAACCAACTTGTTGTTTTGGGGTAGTCCGGCAGAATGAAGAGTGCGACCCCAGCGAGAGCAACGGTGACAGCACCTTCGACGATGAAGAGCCACCTCCAGGCGCGTAATCCAGCGGCACCTTCCAGGTCAGCAAGAATTCCAGCAGCGATCAATCCACCGAACCCTTGCGCTGCCAGGTTTCCACTGTTCAATATCGTGACACGGAGCTGCATTTCTCTCCGATTGTACCAACGCGACAGGAATAGCAAACTCCCGGGGAAGAAGCTGGCTTCGACGCAACCCAAAAGAAAACGGCAGGCCACAGCACTGGAGAAGCCTCTCACGGCACCGGTTGCCGCCGATATGACGCCCCAGACGGCGACGCAGCCGCATAGATACCAGCTTGGTCGCTTAAGCTTGTTCAGAATCATGTTGGAGGGGATCTGCATTGCGACGTAGCCGCTGAGCAGCACAGAGATGCAGGTCTGGTACTGGACGTCAGTGAGCTTGAGGTCCTTTTCGAGGCCGCTGAGGCGGGCGTTGGCGAAGTTGTTGCGGTCGATGAAATTGAGGATGAAGAGAACGATCATGACGGGGAAGATGCGTAGGTCGATCTTTCGTACGATGGCTTTCTCTGTAGCTGGGTCCCAATTTGGGATCATGGTAGAAGTATTCGCCCTGAGGCTTGACTGCTTTGGATCGGAAGCCATTCTGGTCGAAATTTGACCTTGAAACTACGGCAGAAAACATGAAATTGAGGAACAAGGTCACAAAGGGCGGCGAGCTCTAGCCTCTTAAAAAGATGAACGGTAAACTCGAATTCCTAGACGTTTGCTAGGTAGTATATCTGACTGATACGTTATCGCAGGTTGATGCCCAGACTCTGCTTGCTATCTGCAGCCAACCTCTCGATGTAGCGGCAGAATGGTTAATGTTTGCCTGGTACGCTACCCCTCATATCTCGGAGCAAGGGTCCTTACACCAACACCTGGGCTATCTCGCGTCGCACAACACATCCCAACAAGGCTTTGATTGTCGGGCACGGGGAATAGCAGGGCATATGAAGCCAAAAGAGCCTTCAGCTGACTAATTGCATCCCTCGCGGCCCGGGAGCCGTACCGCAGCGCCGAGCTCCGTACCGACTTTCGGCCCGGGATCCATGCCGAAGGTGAGGGGAAGTTATATGTTGACAGGAAGACGGGTCTACGTTGAAGGCGTGAAGATTTATCCCGCTCTCAGAGAGTAGTTCAGCCGCAATCTACAGATCAGCAAAGGCCCCCTGTCGTTGGGCTTTTCCAGGCTCGACCAACCATTTTCCGCCTCGATCTGAGTGCCATCCCTTCTTTTCGTCATCTAGACCCTCATTCCCATCGTCAAGCAGCGCACCGCAACGAAGGCTTCATCATTCTGATTTTAGAGTGAATCACCTGGAAGAATGACGGAGACAAGCCTTCCCACATCCAACAAGGCCGTGGTCTCGGCTGGACCTAAGAAACTAGAGATCCAAGAACGTCCTGTACGCCCACCAGGCGACAATGAAGTGCTCGTTGAAATAGTTGCGACAGGTATCTGCGGTTCAGACTGCCACAACTGGGAAAGCGACAAGGTATCTCGCCAACTCGTCCTTGGGCACGAGTCTTCGGGTGTCATCATCCAAACCGGAAAGAGTGTCAAGGACCGGTTTGTCGGACAGAGAGTGGCTGTAGAGCCGGGTTTCGCGTGCATGAAGTATGGCTTCAGGTTTCATCTGTCTTAGTTTTCAATTACGAAGAGTGTTGACGATAGTTGAAATAGTTGCGAGTTTTGTGTCAAGGGGAACCCGAACATCTGCGCGAACTTGAAGTACTGCGGCCTCGACCCCACCGATGGCACACTTTGCCAGTACTTCACCTGCACGGCCTCAATGACGGTGCCCATCCCGGACTCAATCTCCTGGGAGGAGGCGGGCGCGATCCAACCGCTCGCCATTGCGGTTCAACTTGCCAGGAGAGCCTCTCTAAACGCTCACCAAACGATGGCTATCTTGTATGGTCTTCTGCCTGTATACACGAGGGCTAGCCATGCTGACGCTTTTCTCTTTCAGTGGATGTGGCCCTCTGGGTCTCCTGGTGCTTGCTGTCGCAAAGGCATACGGTGTCAAGAAGGTCATCATGTTTGACATTGAATCATCTCGGACGCAATTTGCAGAGACGTACGGCGCGACCGTCGGTATTGTCCCTCCGAAGAACGAAGACCCATCTGTAGATTCCCTCTCATTCTATCAGCAATACGCCGAGGAACTCAACTCCAAACACGAACTTGGCGACGGTTTCGACGTCACAGTTGAGGCCAGTGGAGCAGAGTCCTGTATCCAAATGGCAGTCGCCATGCTGAAATCGGGTGGAACTTGCATTCAGGCTGGGTTAGGAAAGCCCCTTGCATCTGTGCCTCTGTTCTTGGTCACGGCCAAGGAGCTCAATATCAGGGGTAAGTCAACACCTTCCGCTGCCGCCCAAATTGTTCTAATAGTGAAATAGGTACCGTGCGATATACACCAGGCTGTTTCACAGACGCGATCAGTCTTCTGGAGAGGAAGCTCGTAGATCTCAAGCCTCTGGTTACATCAACGTACCCTCTGACAGATGCTGCACAGGCATTCGAGGCGCAGCATGCGAAGAAGGATATCAAAATTATCATAATGAACCAAAGGTAGTCCCAAGTCAAGTTCATGGTGTTGAGACACATATACCTTAGGAAATACAGACCAACAGTGGGTACATGTGACAGGTCACGACCGAAATCATAGAGATCTCAAGCCCAGGTCACCTGGGATACTGTACCGATTGCGTGTGTACCATTACGGGTTCTTCCGAGAAAGAGCTGACCCTCTATGATATGCAAGGATCTGGAGAAGGCGGTGCATGGAATTGGAGACGACCAAAAAAAGCTTAAATTTGCTGCTCAGCAGAATGGAATCCAATTTCTAGTCAATCTGTGTGAAGTCAATATCAACACCAGCACTTCCCAAATCAATCAAGAAAATGGGTGGATGGAATGCGGCTTGTTGAAAGTCACTTCCGATGGACCCTTTAGATGTTCCGACATAGAGACGCAACGTAAACGCTCCCCAAACAACAGGCATACCCGACGCTAGCAAATTCTTCCAATTTGGGGCCCCCCTTCACTGTTGTTAACTAAGAGATCGTCCTCCGTCAAGTAAGCCACACCTGATCTCTCAAAGGTTTCAACCCCATCTTCTTCCTTGACCGGTTTCAGAAGAATAGCGTATATTTGTGGCTCTTTTGTGTTCCTTGCGACCACAACACACTTGAGTGGTGCTTGTAGTAGTACGTTCAAATCATCTTGTATGAGCAGTCTTGGCCTTTCTGTCGTCAAGGAGGATATCCTTTCCGTGTTCAAGGTTGATATCGGAGCAACGAACTCGTGCGGATGCTGGATATCAAAGACTCCGCTCGCCGCCTGGTTGCTGGATTCAAACGGAGATACAACTCTGTCCTCCCAGATGACATTTCCCAGCGGGACGTTCAAGTACCTTATTTCTCCATGGAAGGCCATCCATGACCACGACGGCACGGTGGATAAATTATCGTAGCTAATGCGCTCTAAGGAGCGGCTCTGATCTTGACGTTGCCACAACAGGTCTCTCGAAAAGTTCAGGTGCATGACGCCGTAACCACCTGGAGATCTCAGAGCGGAGACGAGTCGCCTTTCGAGTCCTGCAATTGCCACAGGCCTGTCCGTTTGGTTCGAAAGACCCAAGGAAGAGTATCGTTCATAAAGCCCGTGATAAAGCGCGAGTTGTTTGCCTTGCTTATCTGACTTGACAGCATTAGGAAAGTCCGAATCACCAAGGAAAGCTGATTTACGGCTGAGTGAGATGATTAACGGGGAATTGGCTTCCTTAGATTTTGGTGTCCATCGAACTTACTTTGTCGTTCGAGCAAATGTCTCACATCTGATGCCACTACCGCACTCCCAGTACGTCTGGGTCTTAGTGAAGTGAACCGTTCGGCGTGATAGAGCGCGTTCCTGCAAGACCCAGCCCCTCTTGTTAAGTTCGCCTTGCTCCACGTCATGGTCGAAATCGTTGATGTCTTCGCAGATATGGAATGTCTCATCATCATCATCCGTAGTCATAGTGACAACCTCTCTCGGCCTTCGCATTTTCAAAAACCCATCAAACATGTGATCGGCACAACTTGCTGCAATCGTGAAATAGGCGAAACTGAACACCTTTTCCATGCGTTGAGACTCCCTTCTCCAATCCTTTACATGTTCCGAGTCGTCGCCCTTGCCAGTCTTCTGAAGGATGCACAAGGAATCGATCCAAACATATCGTAGACCAAGTTTTCTGGTCACCCGAACTGCGTCCTGGAAGGTCTTGGGTAGTAGCTTGTCATCTAAACCCTGGGTGCACTCAATGAGGTGTCGATTCTCACTTGTAGTAAGATAGAATGTCTTTGCGTCCGGTTTCATTTCGTTGGGCGATCCCCACCTGTGCGATAAAGCCGCATACTGCAAAGGGGCCTTGTGCTTGAAACTCGACATTAGTCGAACCCCCTTAGATTCCCTGTCTCCAACGTCCAACAGCCGCGAAGGCGCAAAGTCGCCTGTCGGAAAGTGATGTCCATGCTTTTCATCACAAGTTCTGAGCCACTCGGCCAGTATTTGAGTATGCGTCTCGCTACCTGGCTCCAATAGAGTGGGAAAGCCCATCTGGATTCCATTTCCCGAGAGTCTTTCTGATACTTCATAGATCAGCGAAGTTCATACTCTTTGATAATAGGTTTAGAGACTCTACGAGGGTTACGTGATCCTTCTTACCCGAAGTGGAACACAAGGAGAAGATTGGACGAAGGTTTCTCTCGTAGAAAGTCAACGCGGAGTTGGACTCTGATCTCAAGAACGTGATTGTGTCCTGGCTGAGCGCTGCACGTTCCTTCATAGATCGGTGTAACAGTCGGCAAAAGTCGCACTCCTGAGATCTTCCCGCCAAGTCAAGTAATTTGACGGAGAACTCATAGTCGGGGAGCCAAAGCTGATGTTGCTGGCACTTCTCGCAGAGCTTGGAAACTTTGTAACGGTGGAGCGTGGCCGGACTTTGACGAACAATGAAACTGGCAAGCCCATCGTCTGGAATGTACGTCCAGTTATTGTTAAGCTAGAAATTCAGAAAGGCTGAGTGTCATGAACATGCCAACACCATTAGATGCTTCTTACCGGCTATTGGCGAATGCATGCATTGTCAGATATCAGCTCTTCATACTTTCCCCCACATGCCAATCACAAGGGTGCTTTTGGACCCACCGTCTGAAAGTGCGTCAGTCAGCTTGTAATTAGCTGAGAGAGGTGAAGGTTGAAATATAGATGTGAGTGACTTACAAACTTCAGTTCGGTAGACAAAGATATTAGCTACGTCAATGCAAAAGATCAATAGGGGTCAATGATTACCATCTATATTGGGTTCAATAGTAATCGTCAGCCCAATGCCAGCTTGCTACACATCAGAGTCTTTTACGCACGTACTAGACTTCCTATTAGAAACACGACGAAGCACAGCTTACACTTTGGATGAAATAGTACTTACTCTCTTTACAAGAGATGGATGTCAGCGTGGAACAAGAATTAATCTAATTGGGATGCCGCGGTTGGAATGTTCCGTACCTCACTTTTCTGCATCTGCACATGCCGTCAGCTAATGCGTATCATTATTGTAAGAGGTCTAAGAGAGAGATCTACAGACCGCCGTTGACATATGATGACGCTCTTTCGTTTGTTCCGGTTGTCTCCCAGAGAGAAGCTTGTCGGATACGTTCGGTATTCCGAGTTTGGATGCTTCCTCCATACCATCCCACTTGATCCACAGAATAGAACCTGGGCCCTCTCTCACTGCTGCCGCTTTGATCGTCACAATCTCGTCGAGCATTTCTTTTGCATCAGCCCTCACCAGCTTTGGCTCTGCGTTGATGTTAATGGTGGGGGCCCGAACAACAAGTCTGAGCCCACCTTCCGGTCGTACAGACTCGTTGTCGTCTTGCGCGACGGTTTCGCCGGTTGTTTCAGCCTCAATATTGACAACCAATAGCCTCGTTTCGATCAGGTGAACCAGTCTTCCTACCGCTGTGGATGTGATGGGTGCACATCTTGGATCAGTCTTAACGGCCTTGATCCAATCCCGCACTTGTGATTTCACCTGAACGTCCGCACCTGAACCTGTGAAGAACTCATTGCCAACGTCGCGAGAGAAAGCTCGTAGTCCTTCGTAACCATAAAGAATCCAGACGAGAAACTCAAGATACATACAGCCGAGGGACCAGATGTCGTATCTCCTAGATGTTGGCTTGTGGTTTCCAACTGGGTCATCAGCCTCCGGAGGAGTGTACCTTTGCGTCCCACGGGGGGTCCTTGTAGGGTCAGGGCGGAATTCTGTTGCTTGAACATGGATTTTGGCATGTCCCGCATCGGCAATCACCAATGTCACGTTAGTCGGGACCTTGCCCGGGCCGGGAATCTCGTCGCAAAAGCAGAGAATGTTCTCTGGTTTCAGATCGCCAGGCCGGCATGAACCGCCTGGAACTTTGTCCGAGAAATGAAGACTTTCCATGGCCTCCGAAATACCAATTAGTTGCTGGAAGAACCATTTGATGTATTCGTTCCAGTTCCCAGAGCTGAAACTGAGGCAATTATCCCCCAGGCTGGGTTGCTTGATCCAGAACTCGTGTAGATTCCCGGCTTTCGCCCATGGAAATACGAAGAAATGCTTGTTGTCATGGGTGTACCTCGCAATGGCTTTGATGAAGTGTTTGTTCTTCTCTTGGAAGTGAAGCAGAACTGTCTCTTCGTTCTTGACGACTTCAGCAAACCGTGGCCCAAACCACTTTTCCGAAGTGATTTCCTTGACAGCAACGTGGGGATTCCCATTCTTGTCGACCACGGTGCCCTGCATACAAGTGAGCTCTCAGCTTAGAAGCCTAAAAGAGATGACACCACTTACAATTTGCTCATCTTCTGGGAACACTTTGAACCCCTCTCCCAAGTGGCTTTTGTGAATGACCCGTTCGGTCACAGCACTAAAGTTCGACTCTCTGCGCGTGATCTCCTTGAGAAATGGCAACCTACAGGGATAATCGAATACATAGGGAGAGCCATCTTTTGTGAATACAGGCGAGAAAAACAGCCACTGATGAGGATCAGCAATCGCAAGGATGGCTGTTCTATCATCTAGCGTTGCAGTGTGTATCTCGACTGATCGTTCAGATGACGAGTCAGATGAGACTGCTGGCCTTGATGAGCTAACTGTCCAAGTCTGTTTGTCCTTCTTCTCAATTTTGACAGGGAACATTCTATCTCCGAAATCCTGTTCGCAGAAGTCTTCGATCCAGTGCAACCGGTTGATGTGGATGAGAAGTGCGCACAGTCGTTGTGCCTTCTTGACGAATGTTTGCAATCTAAATCGATCCACTCGCGAGAGTGGAAGATTTTCTAAGACATTCTTTGCTGCATCCACAACAGATTGAATTTCCGACAGGGGAATCCACTCGTATTCTGGACCCTGGTTACCCGGAGTGAAGTACGCTTTCGAGTCACTGTGCCGTTGGCTCTCTTCCTGGATGGACTTCTCTTGGTTCTGCTTTCGGACAATGACATCGAATATATGCTCCTGTAGATCGCTGATTGACATGATGTCCATCGTCTGGAGTATGCTCCAGCTCCGGATTCCAGATGTGCGTGAAGGCCGAGACAGGCTGTGGGGAAGGAGTCCGCCAAATGTGCTGGTCGAAGAGTGTGTTCTGATGCAGCTTGGAGTCGTATTCAAGGTCATAGATTGGGTGCCCGTCATTGAAGAGTGTTCAAAAGATATAGTCTGAGCTAGGTCTTTCTCCTGTGGCCGATCCCCATGAAATGATATGACTTGATGTGGCTCTTTTCCAAAGCAGCCACATGTCAAATCATGCGCCCACTTCCAAGAGCTCATTTGGTGGAAGATAACCTAGGCTGCACCGATTTTGAAGCGCGGGCGAACCGTGTCCGAGAAGCGAAACAAGGCACTCTATCGTGGCTCCATTCAAGGGAGGGTGTCTGAAATATGATTGCCAGCGATTGGAACTCGCTGCAAGTAATCATTGCGGCTTGGTGGCATGACACTCAGCCATCATGTGGGATACGGGAATCATGGCATGCATACTGCAGACCTGTACTTGCATTAGTAAAAGCGAGGGCTCTGAATGGTTGCGCGTGCAGGAAACAACCATTACGTGAGGCCTCGGGGCTCTCGGCATGCCAACGCAGTCTGGGCTGCGGGGGTGTATGCAGTGGTTCCCAAGTATGCAGACCTATGCATGCATAGTGACCGTCACATGGCGCAGCGACTTGTAGGCAACCATACTCTCGATCCCAACGGACTGCACTAGACTGATATGGCGCAGCCTGATACTGTGGTGAGGCATTTACCGCTCGATACCACTCCCGTCGGGGCACTTCTATCTACGCAAGGCTGCGAGACGAGATTGTAAAGAGTATTTGGAACTCGCCTCTCGCGTGTCAGTCATGTAGCTGATTTACTTGATTCAAAGGCCTTTCTTTTCTGGCATTGCACGAACTACAAATATATCTTCCGTCTAGTCGACTAACAGAGTTTGGACATTGGATTTCAGCAATCCCCAGTTGAGCCAAGAGATCGGACCAAACTCTGCGTAAATACGTCAAACTGAGATTAATTCTCATGGCTCTATTTGATCAGTTGGACAACGTCTACAGCCAAGACGAATTGGGGAATCGTAAGTACATTCCGAGAAATGAGCTTGAGCGGCTCATCACCAGAGACACCGTGGAGCAGGAACTTCGGCGAACACAAAAGAGGGGGGTGCGTAATTTGTTCCGGGCAAAGAGATCATTAAGGGAGAATCTGGCGGAAAGAGTGATGGAATCTGGACAGAAGCTGTTTGCGACATGCGTATACCTCAGCCAGCCTTGGGATGTCAAGCTTCTTCTCGACGCCAACTTTACCGACGATGATCTTCCTGTGACCAAGAATGCTAAGTCCTTGAAGAGCTCCGAAAAGCAGTTCGATTGGCCTGCAGCGTGGGAGCTGCCAAAGTTGGACGTGTTCATCGATAAACAGTGGTTATTTCTGGCGCCTATCTTCAGCGCCACAGGCACTCATCAAAGCCTTGACACAATGTGCCCTCTTCCTTTCCTGAAGGTAGAAGAGGAGCAACATGGTATGAACAATGTTGTGTTTCAGGCTATGATTCATGAATCTCACCAAAAGGGGTTTGCAGTGGGTCTCTCCGCCATCAATGATGGCTTTCTGCTTTAAAAGCAGCTAACAAGACTTGCAGGTTGAAACTCCCACCTATAAGGTTGCACTCAAGGAATTCAAGTTCAAACAAGACTTTGATCAGGAGTTTGAGAATCTTCTGAAGATACGTAATTTGCAGCAATCTAAACACATTACGCAGAAGCTCGACTCTTTCAAGCGAGGGAGCAAAAACTACATCATCTTCCCTTGGGCAGATGGCGGAGATCTTGTCAACTTCTGGGAGAAGATGGATGTCGAGGCACGATCTCCCAAACTGGCACTATGGGTTCTCGAACAGATGCTCGGGCTCGCCCAGGCTCTTCAGGCCCTTCACGACGAGATGAGAGACCAGGAAAACTGCCGACACGGAGATCTCAAGCCGGGAAATATTCTTCATTTTACAATTGAAGGCTACGGCACCTTGAAGATTGCTGACTTTGGCATTTCCAAGATTCACAGTCTCGGAACGTTGCAGAGGCGGGACCCAACAACAACGAGAGCAACAACGCCTTCTTACCAAGCTCCCGAAGGTGACTCCTCTAACACGAGATCTCGGAAATACGACATCTGGTCACTAGGGTGTATCCTTTTGGAGTTTACAGTGTGGACCGTACAAAGCAATCACAATGTCATTATTTTCGATGCAGCAAGGAAGCCAAAGACTCCAGGGATGCAGCCGTGGCCACACTTCTACGAGAAAGTGGGGGACAAGACCGTCGTACACCACGAAGTAAACAATGTCATCAAAGGACTGAGGGGTCTCACACAGTGTAGCCAAGGCACGGCATTCGGGCATTTACTGGATATCGTTGAATGCGATCTTATCAAGGTTGAAGTTCAAGATAGAGTTGAAGCCAGGGTATTGTGCGATCGACTTGGAAAGATCCTGGAGAGAGCTAGAGAGGACAATGCGTATCTTTTCAATGGTGGGTCACAGGTGGAAGGCTAATGGATTGTCATATTGATCTCTGGAATTACGGAGCTGGTGGTGTCAATGATTTTCTTTAAAGTATTCCTCCGTCTCATGCGCGAATAATCTTCTTTGCGAAGCTATCTCCTCGAAGCACAAACCAGGCGGCAATTTCCGCCACCTAACCGGTGAATATCTAGGTTGTCGACGAGAAATTTCTCGCTAATTACCTCGTGCGGACTCTTCATAACCGAGCCAATGGTTGTATGTTATATACAAAGGCGAGGGGACGTGTGGCACAGAAGCCCTCAACAGCTGACCGAATTGTATCACCAATCATGCGGTGCGCACCATCAGGCTCTACCTCTTTCTTCCTGGCCGTACTCCTCCTGTTCGTCACCGCTCCCAGCACCTCTTCGTCTTATGCCCGACACCTCGACAGGTCCTTGATTGTAGAGGACAGCGTTAGTGAATTGCGATCAAACTTCATTAAGTTTCGCACACAGTCGGCCCCGTCACGGCCGAGGCATTCGCAGCGCTCGGTATCGCGGCCAATATCTTTCAATTTCTCGAACTTGGTTTCAAAGCCACGCAGACGATCGCTTCGACCTATCGCAACACGGATATTGACGGACTATCTCAGCACAACGCTTAAATTGCCCTGACATGCTCCGATTTCAAGGAGCATTGCTCTAGGTTGAAGACTGGAAGAGCAACACGAGAGACGGCCTCCAAGCCGATTTGGCCGACATCACAGCGCAAATTTGTTTCAGGCTTCAAGGGCTTATCCAGTACGCATGATGTCTCTAATATGGCAAGTATTCCGTAATCTCATCTGAGTGCTCTTCAGCGAACATCAAAGATCCCTCGTCAAATCAGTGGAAGTTTGGGGAGATACGTCAAAGGAGTAGAATAGTGTCACAGAACAGAAGTTAGACACGATGACCCAGCAGGTCAAGGACCTCCTGAAATCGGAGTCTAAAACGGTGTCTGGTGGGATCAATAAACTAGTCCAAGCTTGGTAGCATTCGCCGAGGACGCTAGCAGTCACAGTATCACCAGGGCCATTCTAGAAAGTCTCCATTTTGCCTAGATCAAGGAGCGGCAGAACGAGATTCCAAAAGCGCACAAAGACACCTTCGAGTGTATATTTGGTGAAAGCTCCCCAGGAAGCTTTTCGATTTGGCTTGAAGAGTCAAGCAGCATCTTTTGGATCACAGGAAAGCCCGGGTCCGGAAAGTCAACGTTGATGAAATTCAACTTAGGCCATGAGATGACGAAGAACCTCGCAAGTACTTGGGCCAACCCTAAACTACTCGTCGTCGCTAGTCACTTCTTTTGGTTTGGGGGAATAAAACTCCAAAAATCCCAGGAGGGCCTGCTGAGAACGTTATTATTTCAGATCTTGTCTAACGCCTCAAGGCTTATTAGCAAGGTGTTACCTGGTCGAATGTTAGGACAATTCAAATACCTCGAATCATGGAGCTTAGAAGAACTTTCTGACGCATTTCAGCGTCTTCAAGCCCTTCCGGAAATTCCTTGCCGCATCTTCATGTTTGTGGATAGACTTGATGAGTACAGTGGCCAGGGTACAGAGTTAACGGGATTTCTCCGAGCTATCACGACTTCGCCCGAGATTAAGATCTGTTGTGCAAGTAGGCCTTGGCAGGAGTTTCGCAACGGATTCAGTGATGCATCTGGCAGAATTCACATGCATGATCTCACTTCTGATGATATGCGGGTCTACGTCCACAGCACCCTGACGCAGCATGAACGATTCAAAAGCCTTTTGTCGTCATAAGAGGCTCAAGTCGACTTACTTATCAAATCTATTTGCACGAAATCTGAAGAAGTGTTCTTCTGGACATCGCTAGTGGTGAAGTCACTTTTGCGGGGCCTTAATAACGACGACGGACTCGAGATCCTGCAAAGAAGACTCTTTGAGTTTCCTCCAGACCTTGAACAATTCTTCAAAAGAATGGTTGACTCGATTGAAGATGTGTACAAGGACCAGGTTTATCGAGTTTTCTCGATGTTACTAATGGTTGATGCACCATTGCCTCTAATTATGTTCAGTGCTCGGAACTCTGCCTTGATCAAGAACATGGAGTCTAAAAGCTCTGTCAACTTCAGGACGCTTGCGGCACTAAAATCCTCCGAGCACAGGAAAACGCGACTGCGAGAAACCTCTAAGGCAGCCAAGGACCAGCAGTCAATCCTCCATGATGACGAGCTACTCACTGTTGATCCTGGCATCAAGGAAGCGATCAAAGCCCCCAGCAGCCTTTACTTTGCCCCAGAACATCTCGTAGTGTTCAAAGATCAGCTGCTGTCACGATGTCGTGATCTTATTCAGGATTGGCAAGTCGGACCATTCACCGACGACATTCGTATTGGCTATCTCCACCGAACAGTCGTCGAGTTCCTCCAACGCAAAGAGAAGCGACTCTCGTTTGATGATGAAATTTACCTTGATCGATATTATTTCGCGAGATCTTGCCTTTGCGGTCTTTTCTACGACAGAGCCGACAAAGCTGTCAACAGGGGCCTCATACTATGGTTTTTGTATGTTCTTCAAGAAACCCATGCTCCTGCCGGTGATCTCCCTCACGATGATGGCTATGTGCTTTTCGATCGATGCAACGAGATCAGACAGATACTTGCATAAGAAACCCAAGAGAAATCGCTCTTTAGAAACAGCCCTGAATATGAGAACGCAATTACTCGATTGTTGGCAATTTCCCAGGCACGCATACTAGTCCAAAAATGCCAGGCCAAACTTGAGAATTCTCATTCGGCTTACTTTGAGTTCTATCCAGACTTTTATGGACATTTTCTCATGCGACACGTTCTCCAAGGATCGGGCCACATTGAAGTCGGGGATCGCCCTCGGGAGGTTCTGTCAGACTCTATCGACTTGGAATTACTAGGAAGGTTACTCCAGATGGACAAATTCAAGAGACAAATCATCCAAGCGCCGCATAGTGAGACTCCTCGTCTGCACAGCGTTTGGAAGACTTTTATCAAAAGGATCGCAGATATGGCCCCTGACGAAGGAAATGTTGACGTGATTCAGTACCTCAGGGACAACAACACATTCACAGAGGACAAGATAGGAACACTTGAAACATTATTCCCGCTAGATATATCCGCCAGTCACGGGTCTTCGAAGAAGAAAAGGAGAAAGCGTGCGTTTCGCAAGGGGAGAAAGTAGAATCTATCCCATCGAGTGCTGAATAACGCCAGTACATATAGTACCCACAATTTCTCTAAATAGCTCCTTATTGAACTTCTTAATTAGTCTAAAAAAACTATCGATCTCTCGGAAAAATAATCGACTTGCTGCTACCCCGCACACCTATGTACTGGCGCCATTCAGCACTCGATGGGATAGGAGACCTAATGTTCTCCTTAGAGAAGTTGTTGTGACTTACTTTTCATGTAATCTCGTAGGGGTCGTCAGTCACGGGCACTGTGAATATTACAATCAGTTTTTCATTTTCTCAAGCTTCAACCAGGCTTTACCTAGAGATTGGCGTGGCTTCCTGTTCATCTGAATGGACTTGTTGACTACATTAGATCTTGTGACTTGGAGGACAAACCACTCCATGTGCATCCTTCGATCTTTCGAGTAAGCCTGGAAGAGTACACCAGAGAGATAAGGCTCACCATAACCATGAACATGAGCATGTGCCATGCGCGCCTCATGAGTCTACTTTGAACGGATCACAGCGGGCTAAGAGCGCAAAAACAGGAGTCAATTTCAGTGCCAACCCAGCTCAGAAAATGCTTTCACCACCACCAAACGCCACGATGCAGCCGTGTTTCCCCATCACGTAGCAAACTTCTCTCAAGCCGACTTTGAGTCATCAGTCCTCACCCAGACTCTCCCGCACACAGGCCCTACACCTCCTGCGGAAATCCTTATTCTTGCCCTCCCTTTCCTCGCGGAACATACGCGCAGCCTCAACATTGGCCGGCGACTCGTCATTAGGCCCGTGGAACAGGCTGATCGTGCTCAGCAGGATCGTCTCAGGGCTCTGCACGGGGCTCCAGCGCTCCGAGGCCGCCTCGTAGCCGTACTGGTCCTCCTCCGGCGGGTGCAGGATCGAGATGCACAGCCGGCCGTCCGAGTAGATATTCGGGTGGAACGGGATCGGGGTCTGGAAGGTGAGGGACGGCGGCATCAGGGGGTAGGTCTGCGGGAAGGTGAGGCGGGCGCGGAAGTTTCCTCCTGTTGGGGCGGGATGCGTCAGCAGTGATTGGGGGAGAGGGCTAGAGGAGAACGTACCACCGTAGTACTTGCAGTCGTCGCTGATCATGAGCATGACCTCCCACTCGAAAATGTTGTTGTCGTTGACCAGGCCGCACGAGATGCCGGGGATGTCCTTCCCCGTCTGCATCTCCTTGAGCTGGCGGCGCAGCAACGAGGCCGCCGCTGCGGACGACGAGGCCATCGGTGCAGAATGCCGTGTCTGTGTATGTGTGCTCGTTTGGTGTGCAAACCCGATTTCGGGGTTTCTCACCTCGATTCGTCAAGGTAAGGTAGCTTGTGTCGCGGGGCCAGGCGAGGAACTCTGGTCCGATCGGAGAGGAAGCTGAGGTAACGCGTAGAATGGACGACTCGACGGGAGGAGTTCTGGCAGTAAGTTGGGTTTGCCCGTGCTTTCGCAGGCTCGAGGACGCGTTTCGACGACAGCTTTGCTGTGGATGGCGGGGAGGAGAAAGATGGCAAACGCAGCTGTCGTGTGGTGAGGTCGTCGAAATCGGAGCCAATGCGTGTGGGGTTACCCGAACTGCAGGGGGCCGGGGGTGGCGTCTTCACCGATGCTCACCGAGTAGCTTCGGTGAAGGCACCCGAATGCCTGACAGACCACCGATACCGCCATCACCAATTCCAGAACCCATAACCAGATTTCACCTACTTGCATTGTCATATCCTCAACTCTAAACCCTTACCAGACTGGAGGGAGGGGGTATCATTCTTTTGTTGCATCCTGAACCAACCATCCACCACCAATCACTTCTTCTTCGACGTCCCAAACCCGCTAATCCCCATCGCAGCCATCATATCATCCTCGTCGTGCTCCCCCTCAATCCTCACGTCCTCCCCATACTCCGTCTTCACCTTCTCCGCCTCCTCCGCCTTCACCCTCCTCCTCTCATCCGCCTCCTTCCGCTTCCTCCTCCTCTCCTCCGCCTCCTTCAAGCTCTCCTCCTCCCGCAGCGCCAGCCTCTCCTCCAAACTCGTCGCCTTCTCCTTCTCAAAGTCCACCTTGCGCTGCCACAGCATCTCAATCCGCTCCCTTACCTCCTCCGCCGTCGCGCGCCGCACCTCCGTCGTCTGCCCCGTGTTCGCCAGGTGCTGCGGCGTGTTGAGGTGCTCCACGAACTGCTTGTTGTCCTTGAACGTCAGGTCGCACGCCTCGCAGTAGAAGCCCGCGCCGCGCCCGCGCTTGCCCACGCCCGCGCCCGCCGGGACGAGCTGCGTCTTGCCCACCTGCGCGCTGAGGTCCAGCACGGTCCGCCGCGCAGAGGTCATCGTCTCGTTGCCCGTCAGCGGCTTGTGGTACTTCTTGCCCGCGAGCTTCGCCTCGTAGCGCGCCTTGGACTCCTCCTTCTCCTTGGCCTCGCGGTCTTTGGCCTTGGCGGCGTACTCGTCTAGGTCCCACGTCTTGCGGAAGTCGGTGTCGCCTGCGGGCGCGCCGTACGCGCTGCCGTTCTTGTCGGCCATTGTGTGTGTTTGTGGTGCTTTGGTGCGTGGACGCGTCGTTTCGGTCGGGACTTTGTCTCCTCGCCAGTCGCAAGTTTCGATGGAATGATGTGGGGAGATCGATGGTGTTCGATGGTCGATGTAGGATGGCTGAAGTTCGAAGAGCGCGGCCAACAGTCCCAAGACGCGTCGATGATGAAATTTGGTGTCTGGGAGATATGACTTGACTGGGGACCTGATTAGCGGACGAGGCTGCAGGGATTCAGGCCAGGGAAAATTGGGAGGGGCGGACGAGACATGGTCCAGGGGCGTCTCGGTGGTGGGGTTACAGCGCTAAAAAATACCTACCCCTCCAACCCCTCCCCCTCCAAAGCCGCAGAGAAAAAAAAAAGTAAATGGGCATGCGCTCGGTCTAGAAGGCGTCGACTCATACTTCTGCTTTTGCGACTTCGAGTGCAACACAGCTGTATCCCTTCCGCTTCGTACCCTTATACAACCGCCAATATGCTGTATCTCGTCGGCCTCGGTCTCTCTGACGAGACAGACATCACCGTCAAGGGCCTCGAGGTCGTCAAGAAGGCCTCCAGGGTCTACCTGGAAGCCTACACTAGCATCCTGCTCGTGGACAAGGCCATCTTGGTATGTCCTACTCCAATTTCACCTATGTTCCACTCCTTGGGATCGTCAGACCGGCTAACACGTCAATCACCGGCACAGGAGAGCTACTACGGCCGCGAAGTCGTCATCGCCGACCGCGAAATGGTCGAGTCCAACAGCGACGAGATCCTCCGCGACGCCCAGACCGTCGACGTCGCCTTCCTCGTCGTCGGCGACCCCTTCGGCGCGACCACGCACACCGACCTCGTCCTGCGCGCGCGCGAGCTCGCCATCCCCGTCTCGACCGTCCCCAACGCCTCCATCATGTCCGGCATCGGCGCCACGGGCCTGCAGCTCTACAACTTCGGCCAGACCGTCTCCATGGTCTTCTTCCTCGACAACTGGAAGCCGGCGTCGTTCTACGACCGCATCCGCGAGAACCGCAGCATCGGCCTGCACACGCTCGTGCTGCTCGACATCAAGGTCAAGGAGCAGAGCCTCGAGAACATGGCGCGCGGCCGCAAGATCTACGAGCCGCCGCGGTACATGACGGTCGGGCAGTGCGCGGCGCAGATGCTTGAAATTGAGGAGGAGAAGGGCGAGGGCGTGTACGGGCCGGATAGTCTGGCAGTCGGCGCGGCGAGGGTAGGCGGCAAGACGGAGAAGTTTGTGGCGGGCACGCTGAAGGAGCTGTGCGACACGGATGATATTCTGGGAGGACCGCTGCACAGCATGGTCCTGCTTGGAAGGAGGGCGCATGAGCTTGAGAGGGACTACATTCGCGAGTTTGCGTTCAACAAGGAGACCTTTGACAAGAGCTGGGAGGCGGATTATGGGAAGCAATAGTCATCATTCATGTCCCGTTATACGGGTTGGTTGGTGCTGATTCTTTTCCCTCATTCCCCCAAATGACGCTTCTAATGTACATGCTTTTCATTGACCCTGATTAACGCAATTAAGAGGAAGCCGAGCGGTACTGCTCGATCTCGGAGGACGAGATCTCGCGAAGCTTGTTGACGTGGGCAGGGCTACCGGTCACGATGCCCTCGGCGACCTGGGCAACCTTGCCAACGATGTTGGTGTTGCTGATGGCATACGTGGCACTGACCGTCTTGACGCGGATGACGCCGATACGGGGGTCGTTCTCAGATCCGTCGTGCTTGCCATCGCCGAGGTCACCGAGCCATGCCTTCAGCGAAGAGCTGTAGTGCTTCTTGACGATGGATCGGTCGGTGAGGACGCTGGAGACGCCTGAGATGGAGGCCCAGTCGCCGGAGCTGTTGTAGAAGGCGATGTTGACATGGGGATCGCTGTCAATCTCATCCGTCTTGTGGGACTCTGTGTTGGTGAAGAAGAGCAGGTCGATGCCACCGTTTTCCTGGGTGGCGTTAGTATTTCTGGCGCCACGCAGGAGCATGGGGAAAAAATAAGCTTACTGTAGCTGCAACACCCATGCAGCGGGAGACGAGGGCGCCCGACTTCGCATCTCTGGTCGTCATCATGCCGAACTTGCTCTTGTTGGCGAAGTTGACGAGGTCCTCGACCTTATCCTTGACAGAGACATTGGTGTCCTTGTTGGTGGCCTTGTAGGGGTCGGCGGGCTTGTCGCCAGTGGAGGTGTTGGAGAAAGACATTGTGACTAGTTTGTGGTGTTTGTTGAATTTGTTTGCAGACGAGGTCGATTGAACAGTCGTTCGCAGATGAAGCTTCGTTTGCTGGTGTCGTGAAGGGTTGTATGTGAGAGCAAGATTGACAAGCCGCCCTTTGGACAGCTCCTCCTATTTGAACCCCAATGGCCAAGCTGACCTCATTGCCATAGCTACCATAGCTGCAGAAGGAACGGCCATTTCATCATAGAAGGGCGCGCGTTACGTGACTGCTGCCCCGGCGTTGGGGAGCTTGAGCTGCAATGGGCAAGACATCATGACGTCAAGAGCGGAGGGAGCACCTGCGGTTCCTGCACAAGCTGCACAACGTGCACAAATCGTAGCGGGACGTGGCACGATGGGGGCACCGCGATGGACGCATTTTATGGGGATAATTCATCATTGATCGTCTGTAGTACGTCTTCTAGGCGCTGGTCCAGAACGTGCGCCGGTCGATGTTTGGGCAGTGGCCACAAGTGGGTGACATTTGGGGGTGATGATTTTGAGGGGAAAGCAGCATCACATTGAGAGGTCTGAGCTACCTTCCTATGGATGCAGTTTTCCTGTGCCCAATGACAGGGAGCCGTTCACCGTCGCGTGGTACAGGAATTGCCCATTTGGGGGAGTGACACTCAGCTTGTCGGGGTCTGTGCCTCTCGTCTTTTTTTGTTTTTTTTTTTCCCTTCTGTTTCTTTTTCTGCCCTCTCATTGCTCATGCCAATCATTTTGTGCATGCCTTCGCACGGACATGAGACACAAGACAAGCCAGAGACAGTGACAGCCAGCAGGCTAGGCAATTCGGCCGAGCTTCAGCTTCCGGATTTTATGGACGAGAGGGGTCGTCTGCGAAGACGAAGCGCAGACGAAGCGAAGACCAGACTGGACGCGACGCCCATGTCCGCCGTGACAGCTCCGCGATCCGATCTTGCGATCAAACAGCGATCGTAAGGCATTACGGGAAGCTACATCCATAGAAAAGAGGTTGTACATAATTGGGTCTCTCCCCCGCAATTGTCATGCCCATTGAATTTCGGATGCCAGGCGTGCCAGGGTCAGTTCAAGCTCTCGCACTTTGTAGTAAGTAGTCTGGCGCGGCAGCAACTTGAGTCTAAAAAGGAGCTTCCCGCTGGACCAACGAGCAGAAGTGGCACGCTGTCCGCCAATACGCGACCGGAGCCTTTGATATGGAGAGTTTGCAGAGGTGCAACTATATTGAGCCTTCCGCGATCCTGCAGCATCCACGTACCACACGACCGGCGCCGACTGTGAGGACGACAGGCGAGAGAAGACACCAGCACCAAACAACAAGTCGTCAGATAAGACGCCTCACCCACGCACCCACGCACCCCTGCCTGCCGACCTGCCTGATGGATGGCGGGCTGGGCTGCCCCTCCCCGCCCCCTCCCTCGTCACCATCCGTCCAGACTGTCCCGCTCCGGGCTCCAGGTCCCGGCCAGGTCCAGGTCCAGGCCCCTTCCCTTCGCGCATCCGTGGACACGCATCGTCATTCCCCCATCCCGCTGGGCATCGAAATCTTCAGAGTCATCAATGCAGCTGTGATGCGAGTAATCTTCGGGCAGGTGCAGCCGCCCCACATTGTCGGGAGGTCGCCAACACAATTGGTGCACCGCTGCCCTTGCCTGCCCCGATGCATTGTCAATTCGTGGCAGTCCCTCCAGGCTCGTTCCTTCTCTCTGCACCAGAATCTGCATTTGCACCTCAGGCAGGACGCATTGGCAGGAGGCACAAGGCAGGAGCCATGAGGCAGGAGAAGACAGTCTTAGCCGTAGATGCCGTGGGTGAAGGGAGCATCAAGGCAGGTGGACGGCAGGACTGAGGTAGATGCTCCTGCTCCTGCTCCAGCTCCTGCACCTGCCCTCCCGCATCGCCAGTGCTTGCAGCTTCCCTCCCAGCGGCAGAGCAAGGGAAGGAGCCTAAATGCGAAAGAAGCTCTCATGTCGGGGTTTCGGCGGACGTCGGCACCGTCAAAGCTGAGACGGCTTTTCACTGGACGGGCACTGTACACTTCAGGTAGGTGCCAGCACTTCAGCCAGTGGAGGAAGGAAGGCATTGGGCGGGCTCTTGCTCTTTCTTTGCCCATGCATGCAGATCCGGCCAGCACCAGCGCCTGCCACTGACCACCACCGTCCACTGCCCACCGTTCCGTCCACTGCCCACCTGCCCATTCATCATTCATTGCCTGCAGCCAGACCTTCCGTCGCTTGTCGCTTCCTGCCTTCCTGCCTTCCATTGCCTCCCTCCCCTCCTCTGCCAACAGTCAGTCACAGTCTTTTTTTCCTCGTGATTGCCCGCCTTGCAGCAAACGTTGTCTTTCTCACCACCTTTATCTTTTCCACCTCATCCCACCTTTCGATGCAGAAAAGTCCAGGACTGAACTGCCCCAGTCCGTCTTCGCTCTGCCCGCAATCTCTCGCCCCTGTCGACTGATTCACGGAGTTTACCCGGGACAGCGCGCTGACGGAAATTCCACGACCGATACGACGCCGCGCCGACTCAGGAGAGCGAGAGAGCACCTCACACTTCAATCCGCTCTCTCCTCGCCATCTTTCCGCACTAATTGCCTCCCGTTGGCTTTTTGTCCGACTCCATCCACGACCGTCGTCGGTCACCTGGAATCGTCATCCGCAACTGCCGCTCGATTTTTTTCCATTTTCACGACTCATACGCCTAGTCTCGACTTTCTTTCCTTCTTATCCTTCACTCTCGCCTCTCCGTTTCCTCCATCTTGACTCTGCTTGTCTGACCCTGACCCCCAATCGGCCCCTCCACGAACGTCAGGACGAACGCCCCATCCCACATCCCTCCCAAAACCTTCGTTTCACCTTTCTTCATTGAGCCGTCGGTTGTATCGCAAACACGACTTTGTTCATTCAGCGGTCATACCCTGCCTCATCGAAACTCTGCCCCGAGCTTTCATCGCTGCGAATTTTTTTCACTTCCCGATGAGCTTTTTCGGCGATTGAATTCGACGCCGCTTATTTGACCTGAAAACCTGCAGCGACGCCCAACCTGCCTGCGTCGGCTCCTCTCAATCAACTGCCAAATTTCCACAAACGTCTCATTCGTCACTTTTGTCGGACGAGTTCCGCTTGCATTGGACCCGCAAGCTGACTAACCAATTCAACGTCATTCCAACTTCATACCAGTGACTGCGCCAGCCCTTCACGATGGCGCATCGCGACATGGTTAGTTTATCCTCTATTTTTGCAATGATTCTGCAGTTTATTGACCTGGCTACAGGATGTCGTCATGCCTTGGGAGTGTCGTGATGTGGAGGACCAGGCCGAAGCTCACTTCAATGCACCCCTGCGCAGCAAGAACAAGGCACTTACAGACGAGAATGCCAGGCTCAAGAAGCTGCTTCGCGAGAACGGAATCTCCTGGTCGCCCGTTTCAGCCAACTACCAGAAGCATCACCGCCCCAACGGTCGGCGCACCCGGTCTTCCATCTGCTCCGAGTCTCACGCGTATCCATACCTGCCGACCGAAGTGCTGCTGCGAATTCTGAAGTACTCCTTGACGTCTAACAACCCCATCATTGATCCCTTGTCCAAGCTCAAGCCCGAGAACCTCACTGCTGTGGAGCGTACCCGCGACAATCAAATCGCCATTCACTTCTTGGCTACCTGTAAGGCCATGTACGAGGAGGGAAGCCGCATTCTGTGGAACCAAAACAGCTTTGTCTTCACCAACCCCGATGCAGTCCGCAACTTCGCAGACCTCGACTTCGCCTACCGCAAGAACGTGAAGCACGTCAATTTCCGCATCATAGCACAGTACTTTGACGACAAGAGGCGGAAGCATAAGCTCGACCGGTCCTACCATCCGTCTCTCAAGAATGACGTAACTCTTCGGACTATTCCCCGTGTCAACGAGCACACCTACGCCCGTGCCGGCTTCCGCTGCTACACATGGGGCCAGGTGACAGATTTCTTGCGTGCCCTTCGCGCCCCGTACGACCCCAAGCACGACAAGAAGCTTGTTCGACCTCGGCTGTTCCCCAACCTCGAATCGCTCCGCATCGACCTCGTCAACTTCATGGACGACTTTCTGCCAATGCCTGGTAGCGACCTCCACGACATGGCGTCGCATGAGCTGGGATGCTCGCTCAACGAGTTGCAAGTGACTGGATTGCCGATAGATGACGCGGGCAGCAAGGCGACAGCGGAGCTTACCGGACTGCTCAGAGACGAGGGTCTTTTCTTGGCCGGCTTGCCTTCATTCGTCCAGCTGAAGAACAACTTCAAGGCCCTCTCTGGCATCTCCAGCTGCGCGCGTGTTGTGAGGGCTTGGAAGACGCTGAAGCCCAAGAAGACTGAAGGAGACGCTGACGATCACGACTCGGACTCGGACTTGGACTTTGACGACCACCATCACCCCCGTGAGCCCATCATGCCTCCTGCGCCACGGGAAACGGGTCACCCAAAGTCAACTCCTAGCCGCAAGGATCTCACGATCTGGAAGCGAGTCCCTAAGACTAGAGACGGAGACGAGCGCCAGTGGACTGAGTTCTGTCGTAGCAGCGGCTACCCCATGGAGGACGTCGAGGAGTACATGAGTGACGACGAGCTTGGTGTCTGCCCTTGCTGCGGAGAGCCCCATCCTAGTTTGTTGGAGCTTCTCGAGATGGAGGGCGACGATGATGACGAGCTTTGAAAGATTGGGTGAAAAAGGGGGCGTTGTATCTGATCTCGACCGGGGCGAACACTTGCACATCATGGCACGGAGTAACATGGACTGATTGGCTTTGGAAGAACTATGACTATGAATTTCAGCAGGTAGGTCACGGTTCTCGGAAGGAAAAGCTCACGGAGTTGTGTTGCTCAGGTCATGAGATTATGATACCACATTCTGCTAGGAGCACATAGATACCACTTGTAATGAAACCCAGAGGTTACCTCTGTACGCATCGAATCAACCTGTCGTTCATTTCCTAAACAATGTCAGCTTTCTTCATCTGCTGAGAACTTACCTATACTTTCGCAGACTGCCCAGTAGTCGCCTCTTTTCCCGTATCTCAGTCTCCAAGTCCTCCAACGTATCCAGCAGCTTGTCGATATCCGTCTGAGCTTCAGAGAACACGTCCCGGAGCTTGAACAAATCCCAGTCCGAGCAGACTTCATACTTGTCAACCTCCAACAGTTTCCTCCTTCGCCTCCGGTAGCCATCAACCCGCGGCGCATACAAATCAAGAAAGCCCGCGCCGGCATCCACGCCGCCCCATCGCCCCCTCTCACGCCGCTTCGCATCCTCGATATCACGGTTCACATCATGGACACGTCTCTCTACCTCGATCAGGTGCGCCTGTAATCTCTCTATATCCTGGCATGTCGCGGCGATCATGGCGCGGAGCTTCCACGGGTCCCACTCCGCGTCAATGTCGGCCTGCGCGACGCGGAGGGGCTGATGGGGTGGCCGCGGGAGGGCGGCGGGGTTGAAGGTGGCGTCCCAGTCGCGGGAGAGGTCGGTGGGCGAGAGGAGGGGCTGGGCGGACTCGTAGTCGGAGAGGAGGCGGTGGAGGCGTAGGAGGAAGGGGGTGAGGGAGATGGAGGGACCGGTGAGGGAGTGGTAGGTTGCGACGCCGGCGGTGGGGAAGGGG